CTTTTTCAGAGATTCTCAAACTTATTTTGTTCACTGTCAACATTAACATATTGAAAATAAACATTTCAACAGTTTATTTGAGGAAAGATTGTTATCATACCATAAATACATGCATAATCCATTATTTTGCAAAATGTTTTTCTTCGGAGTCATCATCATCATTATCAAAACCAATGATGTATTATGAAAATGAGGGACTATATGTCAGGACCTTATTGATCTGTGTTTGGTCATCTGTCCTTTATTTTATAAGGACAAAGATAGACTCTGTATTGTTCTACAATTTCATTGTGGACCACTTGACTTGAACACACAAACCATTTGAAACTCTCCGTTGTATGCATTATGGCAGTTCTCTTTAGCTAAAGTTAAATACATGATGTACAGCTTTCATGTTTTCTCTTATTCATGATTCCATACTGTATATTGAGAAAAAGTCATCTGTAATTGTCCATCACATCCTTGAAAAGTTTTACTTTTGAGGCATGCTAAAAAAATCATAGTAGATCAGAATGTGTGAATATCTGTAGGTCACTTATGGCTTGATGAATATGTCTTTAGTAAGTGTGGAATACAGCTTTTCTTATGCATTGTTCAGTAATTTGATTAATTAATATGAATCATGGATTGTTGAAAATCAAGTTAATTGCTTGATTATCAGTTAATGCAAGGACAAGGACTCTTTCTTCTTTTAAATTGGATATAATTTTATTATATTCTCCATAAATGTTCAGTGTTCGGGCGGTGGCACTATTAGTACAGATTTAAATGTAGTGCACTAAAAGGCAAAAACAAAAGAAATCAAATCAGAAACATAAATAGCTTTTATAATTATCCTCTGTGGTTTCTTTTCTTTTTAATTCATCATCAGTCATAACAATTTGTAAGGCATTAAGTACAAAAGCATTAAAAACAACATAAAAGTGTTTGAAAATGATGCCTGACTATAATATTCAACACTTCCAAGTAAAATGCAGAACTATAATTTATGTTTTCATTGCAAACATTTTATCATAGCCTTTTTTAGGTTAAAGGATAGAAGATACTTTTTAAAAGGATCGATATCTCCTTTGGGATCAGGCCCGAGAAATTAAAGGTGAAACTCTGTAAGTTAAATGTCCCATTGTCATTCATCAACATGTTATCATGTTATTGTGTTATGTTGATAACATGTTATGTTATCAATATGTTACTGACATATTTTTTCAAATTAATATTTTAATGGAATAAGCAAGTAGTTCTAGCTTCCCCAGTATAAGAAAAATGGTATCATGGAAAAGTGGCAGAGACTACACCCATTATAAATAATCTTAGCAATAATTTTCTTTGAAAGATAGGAGATTGATATAATTGCTGAAATTGAGCAGATTTTCTTTTATGCAGATCAATCATTTTGGATGAAAAGATTAGAAAGTCAGGTGTAAAACAAAAGTCTAAGCCTGTTTCTATCATATTTACATAATTTCACATAGAGGAGCATTGAAGTATGAAGTATAAAATAAATGTGTTGAATTCCTTAAAAAAAGTATATTACTTAAAATGAATTACCACTCAAGCTCCATCCCAGCTATAAAGTTGCTTAACATTTTATGAAATACATGTGCCTTCTGACAAGAAAAAAGGAGTATTGATTTGCTGAATAGGAAGTAGAAGATTCATGACTATTACAATCTATTTGCTTATTTTATGCAAAATAATTCAGAAAAACTGCATCTTCAGTGGCATGCAGGTTTCTATGGTGGTTCATTTGAAGACATCACAGATGAAAATAATACATCCAACTACTTTGCTCTACATAGTACATAACATGACTGGATTCCACCTATTCTCTAATAACATTTCTACTCAGAGTTTTGGACTTAATAAATTCTCAGTGTTGCTTGATACACCAGACTTGTTACTGATGGTATATAGAGTTAGNGCATGCAGGTTTCTATGGTGGTTCATTTGAAGACATCACAGATGAAAATAATACATCCAACTACTTTGCTCTACATAGTACATAACATGACTGGATTCCACCTATTCTCTAATAACATTTCTACTCAGAGTTTTGGACTTAATAAATTCTCAGTGTTGCTTGATACACCAGACTTGTTACTGATGGTATATAGAGTTAGACCAACAATCAATAGCTTAAATTTGTGCCTTTTACTACGTACACCTTGCAAGGTGAGATGGGCTACAAATAAAAGTAACAAATACATAAATAAAATATCAAGGGATAATTTTCATCTTATCTTACTTATTGCACAATTCCTACACCAGGTATTGGTACATTTGGACTATAACATATGCCATGATAACAGGAGAAGATTTCTAATCAACGTTTAATATTTCTGCTAAAGTTTCATATACAGAGATAGAAAAAATTGCTGCCCAAGACTCCAGGGAAGTATAGTTAATTACTGATTGAATAATCCAATTATCCAATTTATAGAAACACCCATGAACTACAGAATTTTCATTTTATTAGCAATCCTCAGTCCTCATCATTATCAATTCAGTACTACTGCACAGTCAGAAAAGGAGAGAAAGAAGAAATGGAAGTAAAGAAAATGCATATTTAATGATAAAAGTCTGAGACTGTTCACGCATAGGATACTTTCTGGAATTGTTAATGAATCCACTACTCATGTGGAATAATTTAGTGATTTATTATGATTTCTTTTTCAATACGTTATCTGGATAATGCTATTATAATATATTTTGAGCCCATCTTCTAGAGGGAAACATAGCAGCTCACTTGGCTACTATCACCTTAGTCATAGTTCCACTAGTGATGCAGGGAATAGGAGTAGGAGTAGGAGTAGGAGTAGGAGTAGGAGTAGGAGTAGGAGGAAGAAGAAGAAGAAGAAGAAGAAGAAGAAGAAGAAGAAGAAGAAGAAGAAGAAGAAGAAGAAGAAGAAGAAGAAGAAGAAGAAGAAGAAGAAGAAGAAGAAGAAGAAGAAGAAGAAGAAGAAGAAGAAGAAGAAGAAGAAGAAGAAGAAGAAGAGGAATCATCATCATCTATGGGAATGTTGAAGGGATGAATGAACAATTATGGGAGGAAAGGTTCAAAACAGATTCCCAGAAAGAGGAACACATGAGAAAGAAACTCAAAATGACTCTGCTTTGATTTTGTTTGACATAACATGTAATAGAAAGAAAATTTAACATGTAATTTGAAAGAAAATTTGACAAATTTCAGGATTCTCTAATTATATCCTACAACAACAACAAAAAGTATTCCCCAAGCTTCTGAGACTCCTGTTTCCTGGTTTTACTGACTTTAAAGGGCTGACAACACATTACTCCAAATTTTGTCCCATTTTCTTTCCCCCAAAAAACCTTGCAAAATGATGTTCCATATTTCTTTGGAGTTCCATATTACTCAGTAGAGTTATTTAACTTTCAGTTTCACATGCATATATGATTTCACCTTAATAATTCTCAAATGATAGTTGACCATTTGGTTGGCTGCTACAGGAAGATCACACAGACTGATCAACAGTAGCAACTGATTGCATGAAAAAGTAGCAACAATGGTGCATTGAAAATCCGCAAGAAATACTACTTACCTGCAAGCTAGAATTGGTGAGACCACAAAACAGACAAAACAATAGAAAACAAAGAAGCTAAAGTGTTCCTGGACTTTAGAATTCAAACTGACAAACAGCTGTTTCACATCCAGACCTAACAATTGTCAATAAGAATGATAAAAAAAGTCTGGATAGTGGACATTTAATATCTGGGGACAGCAGAATAGAAAAGAAAGAACTAGAGTAAGTCACAAAATAAAAAGACTTTCACATAGAAGTAGAATGACTTTCTCAAAAGAAAACAAAGATAGTACCAATAGAAATAGGTCCCATGGGTGCAATTCCAAAGCATCTGGAGCACCATTTGAACACCAACGGTATTGACAAAATTGCCATCAGTCCATGGCAAAAGACAGTTTTACTAAGGACAGCTTACATCCTATGATAACAATATTATTAAGCCATAACATCACTGATCCTTGTGAGGGACTCAATAGGTAGACAAAAGGGTCAAATCCAATCTAAACAGCTGGCTGACTATGCAACCAACCATAAGGAATATGGAATCCAAGGCATTTGGAGGGCATAGGTTTTAGGAAGATTAATCTACATTATCTCTATCAATAGCCCAAATCAGATATTAGTAAAAAGATGCAACTCGTAGAGACATACATGTGAAGACTTTCCATGGGCTATAGTTCTAAAAACCTAATATTCAGGGTTGTGTGGAAGACTTTGCAGCTATAGTTCTCAAGATGAAACTACAGACAACTTTGCTGTTCTCTTGGATACTGGCTCTTTCTGACATTGCCAACATGATTTTACAGAGGAAATCTCTGACTCATGTGGTAAGTTACACATTTCTTCATAACACATAAACAGAATTCCTGATTTTGCCCTTTTAGAAGTGTGATGGAATGAAGCCTATATAGACCTGGCTCACATATAACATTAAACCATAATGTTCTCAGCAAAATATGTCAACCAATACCTTATGACTTAGTTTTATGTGCAACTCAGCCCAGCAAAGCATAGTTAAGAAACTATGGTTTAAGAAATTCTGACTCCATGTGAAATGTGAAACTGCACAATTTTCTACATGTTTTTATGCTAGTCTTCTGTTACAGTGACTATGAACATTGAATATATTGATTCACAGAAGTACTCTAATATTATTCCATTATTCACAATAGACATTTTTAGAAATTTGCTTTATCTGATTGATTTGCATAGCTTGTTAATAAATCAAAATACAGCTGAAATAAGTCTTGCAAAGGCAAAAAATATATCCAGCATTGCCTGTAAAATTAGACCACAATATGCTATTTCCCTTTTTAAAAATTTTTTAATGATAACTCTCCATGTCTGATGTTTTATACATTACATTGTTATTATATATTTATGCATTGCTATGATTGCATGGCCTAAATAGATTCAGCTGTGCATATATATGGAAATAGACCTTAACAGATTTCACAGATATTTAAAGCCGATCCTCACTCATGCTGGCCCACCACTTACTACCACTTTACCAGAATGGTGTAATCCTGTAGCCAGGTTGCTGACTAGCCCTAGAGCTTATGAGGTAAGTATACAATTTCAAGTGCACAATATTTCAATATTTTTGACAGGATGTATTATACAGCTTTCACTATATGTGGTGTTGATACCTAGAGTTTTGTCATCCAATTAATATAATATGGGATGTTTCCTCTGTCATCCTCCCAGATTAAAAGATTTAGTTTTGATTCTGGATTTTCTGGTCACCTTGCATAACAAAACTGATATTTAATCTGAACTAGAAGGGACATTCAGAATGGAAATTTATTAAGAAACATATAAAGTAACTCTATTTCATTATTGTACAATTAATGTTTGCTTCAAATCAAGCTCAGCACTCTTATGATAACTTTAGAAATACTGTTTTGAACTCTAGGCTCTTTCTGTAGCATATCATTTTAAAAATAATGTCAAAAACAGCTGACAGCCATGGAGATGAATGTTCAATGTAATAGAAAAGCTTGCAATCAGTATTATCTTGTTGCAGCTTGTTTCTATCAGCAGTTTTTAGAGATGTTTTTAAACATGGGTTAAATATTTTTTTGAAAAACAAGGTTGGCTGAAGAATCTAGCATGAGTACTCTTTACCCGCCAAGCCTTAAACCATACCTGATTTATGGACTGAGTTTGGATTTTTGTAAAGTAGGAACCATTCTTGTCCAACCTGGGAAACCTTGCAGGTCATCAGCTGGGGAGGGCTGCCCAGTGAAGTAGGGTATTCCTAATTTATGGAATATTCTGTCTTCCATTCCATCAATTAGTAGCCCCAACAACCTCACACTCTTACTAGTTTGAATTAGGCATAACATTATACCTTGTACTCAGAGTGTAAGATATATTTACAATGAGACATGTATTTTATAATAACAGTGTGTATATAGAGTTCCTGATTTACAAACTTCCCTATTTACTTCAGTAAGAAAGGCAGCTTGATTTGCACATATCTCCAACCATTAGAGATTCAGCATTGTGAAATGATTAGTTAGATCCCTTGTATGCAGAAGTTCTACTTCTACTACTTCAATAAGGGCAACATTTTTCCGTCAACAACCATATTGTCCCCAGAATAATATCTGGAAAGCACATGTTGAATATAAGTAGCAGAGATGGCCAGAGCCAAACTAAATTTTGTGACATGACACCTCTTTCTCTTCCTCTATCTCTCCATGTTATTAGCTATCTTTATCTGACAGTATTTCTCTATCTTTCTCTTTTCCAAACAATACGTTATGTGGAAGGAACATCAAGTTTTTAGCAGACAAGTAATCTTATAGGGATCTTTTCAAATTAGACTCAGAGATGGAATCACTGATCTCTGCACATCTCTGATCGGTATAGATAGACACATGTGTGCATTGCTTCTTCAGGGACAAGAAGGTCCTAGCTTCAGGAGACAATTCATAAAAATTGTCACTTGATAGTGAGATACATGCAATGTAAATTTAATAAAAAATAAATAAATATACATTTATATGAAGTAAATATTAATTACTTTCTAAATAACATTAAAATTCTATGTGCTGTTATAAACTTAAGAAATAGGGATATCTATTTAATATAGGATTGCTTCACATTTGTGTCATTAATAAGCAAACATTTTCTTTTGTTTCTCTATTCTTTATCACAAAAATGCCTAGGAGCAACTGAAGGATGAAGATGGGGAATTTATTATCAATAATGATGAACTGACCCTGAATTATGATGTTTCAGACCACTTTCCTGTGCCAACCCAGAACAGAACAGAGTCATCTCATCCTGCTGGTAAAGAAAACATCTATGATGGTGACCTTGGCTTAGGAGGATATGAACTCCACTCCAAACCTGCTTCCGGTCAATCCGAGTTTGCTTCCTCAGCCTGATGTCCATTAGAAAATATATGCCACAAATATCAGAAGCAGGAGAAAAGTACATTTATTTTGCAGAATTAACAAGAAGGACATAAACAGAAAAGAAGCAAGACCTTGCTGAATCTCTCCCTAGAGTTGGGATGAAGGAGAATTTTTAATAATTCATAAACATTCTATTACTACACTTAATTTTTTTCTGATAGTGGCCATTTTAACAATGAAATCAAAGGCATTATCTGACTATTACTGGGACATTACATGTGTCTTTGTAGGCTGTGGATCATGCTTGTTTGCACATGCACAAAGTCTTTTGGATTTTTTTTTTCTAATCATTCAGGAAGAGAGAGAATGAGAATTCAGTGAACTAGTTAGTACATGCTTCCAAAATCACATATATATCAGTACCATTTCTCTCTTCTCATGTAGAGCCTTTTGCGATAAGATGGACATTTCTGGGCTACAAGCCATCATTTGCCTCCTTCCAGCAAGTGACAGAATAATCTTTTCCGTACTGTATGGTAGTCTGGCAGCAAGTGACCCACCAAAACTGCTTGTTAATATTTGAGCAGCTAAAACTTAAACATATCAAGAACAGATACTTTAATTTTACCATAATAGAGCATGACTGCTAGTATAAATAGCAATGTTGCTCCCTCCTCCAATCCATTCGCTGTCACTCCTATGCAACAGATTCACAATGCAAATGCCGTATGCTGACTTTCCTCAGATTTCCTGATATTCTGTGCTTATACCTAAAATCTGCAGGACAGAGAACATGAGTATCACATTCAAGACTTCTAAAATAATGTCTGCTATATTTCTGCTTATTTCCTATACAGTAAGAAATGAGAGAGAGAGAACATACTTTGTATGTTTATACAGAGGGAAACTGTATCTGAATCTTCCATTATAAACACAAGTACCTACAGTATCAGAAAAGTTGATGACAGCCCTCTAATTTTTTTCCTTGAAGGCAGTGCTCTGTATCTTTATAGATTAGAGACGGATCTCTTGAAAAGCTTTATTATGGACAGACTTTCCTAGTTGCACTTGCAACTCCTTTCATATCCAAATAAAACTGCCTTATAGTTAGCCCATTTGGTTCATCTCCTCCAGTTGCTTCTTTAACTGCCAGGGGCTCTCCAGTGTTTTAGTCCTGCCTAGAAACTGATTGAAAGTGAAATATTTTGCATGTAATGTATATTTTATTCCTGAGTTTCAGCTTTCTGCAGCCATCCATGACCATACCACATTTCCATCTTAATACTCAGTATAGTGTTGCACTTAGCATATCTTCTGGGTTATTTAGCTATCCTCATGCAGTTTGATGGGAGGGGGGATTACTTTTTGCAATTCCAGTAAATGCTCATGGGTAGGTGAGATAGGATTCTTGCACATATTTTAGTGGTGTGGTGGCTGAAATGAAGGTGTGAGAATTCTTATTTCTCCTTGTATACTTATCTCCCCAACAAGACTTTTTTCAGATTAATAAGCGTGAGAACCAAGGAAGTTGCAAAATGATGAGATGTCTACCATAAAGCAACACCATCAACCACTTCATAACAGTAAATTAATCTCAAAAAACTGCCTGAAGAATTCCAACCTATAGTTAGAATGAAATGGAAAAGTAAACATCACCTTGACAGAAAAATAAATCTTTCTGAATATTGACAAACCAATTTTGACACAGTATTAACTCAGTATCTGCTAAAATAGGAAATGTTTGCAGAATTACAGAAGTCTAAAAATTTTTTAGGAAGAACTGCTGGTCAATGCATCAAGGTTTCCCTTGTGATTTGTTGCCATTCAAGGGTTACTACTATTTCTGTCCTTTCACTTAAAAAGAAAGAATATAACAGTTCAAGTATTGCGTTGTTCTGTCATTTTGTTTCATACAGCATATTTATTCAGGTTCTTCAAAACTCATGTTTCAAATATATTTTACAAAACCAGAAGCCAACGATATGTAGAACGTTGAGAAATGCCAAGAATCCATGTAAATTATGGCCTTCATCCTTCATACTGTATGTCACCTTTAAGATTTTTGATCATATGCATGACTTTAGGAAGATTGCCTCTTTGCAACTATATTCTGAATAATGTGAAGTATTTTTAGGCTAAAAGGTATGATTGGAACTGGCCTCGTGTACTGGATCATGTGCCTCAAACACTGCTGCTTCCATAACAATTTCTCGTAAATTATGAGAAATTATTTCTCCTTTTATTCAATATTAACACATGGATTCTTCAGCACTTACACACCAACTGCCATGAAGCCTTTGACATTATCGCACTGAATACCGCAAATACATGCCAAAGAGGTATGTATTTACATATCGGTCTCCATGGAAACCACCTTGTCCATTGTCACATATCTAAAAGGTAGAAAAAGGCAACGTTATAGCAAACAGGGCTTAAAATCTCATAGGATTGCACAGTTAAATGGTGCACCTGCATTCTAGCATTGAGTATGACATGTCTAGCTTTTGCATAAATTGCCTAAATACTGCATATAGTTTTAGGAATGCACTTGAAATGAATGACTACAGCACATAAGATTCTCTCCCTAAAATAGTCTCTAGCTCAGTGTTTTGCAACTTTAAGATGTGTGGACTTCAACTGCCAGAATTCTCCAGCCAGCATGCTAGAACTCTGAAGTCCATACATCTTATAGTTGCCAAGACTGAGAAACACTGAGCTAGCTACTACTTAATAATAGCGATCTCACACACTTTTTAGCCTATCCCAAGAAACAGCAACTGAAATCTGTGAACTGAAGGATAAATAACTCTATAGTTGCATTTTTTTTATCTCTCTGGCCTCATCTTTATTCAGTTTGTCTACTGAAGGTTAAAATAGTGAGGGCATGAATTCAAGCAGAAAGTCAGCATGTTCAAGTATCAAACTCATCTACAGTTTTTCACATTTTGAATGGTAAATTTTGGCAAATTCAATATCACAAAGTTCATTAGAGATAAGATTATATGCAGGATATTTATAGGATGGGGCTTGCAAGAATGTCCTTGTCACATGTTTAACGCTTGTATTGCCTAATGCATTTCCACAGAGGCGCTATCTCATCTAAGGCACGGAACATGAAGTTCCTGATTAAGCAGCTGTGAAAAAGTTTTTGTTGCATGTGCCAAGTATTAAAGTTTATGGAACCAAAGCTCCCAACTTTAAAAATAATCAGTAGGACTAAATGCCAAGACTTCTTAGTAAAACAGTGAATGGTTGTAAAACGCAATAAATTTTGGTTCCATCATAGATGAAAATTATAACAAAAACTTATATGTAATCAAGTTTTAACCTTGCTGTTTCAATCTTGCTGTACTATCACATTTAATCAATTGCCAGTTGAATGCAATAGTACAGCAATCATGTTAATCATAAATTGAAAGCAAGAATCCTAAGATCAAAACTGAAATGTGTTTTATTTAATTTTCTTTGAAAAACATGAATCAGACTCTTTAATGGAGCTTACTTCTCACAATGAAAAATATATTTTTACTATTCTGATAATTAATCCTAATGAAAAAGTCTGTTCTGTATTCACCACTTTCTGGTGGTGTTCTGACTGTTTTGGCAGAAGCAGCAAGAAAAGAAATGAAGCAGTTTATATGTCAGAATGCTTATGGAACTTAAGGCCACAAGAATAAGAAGAGACTGCTTCCTGGGTGCTTCAGGAAAGGAAGCAATGTTTATATCATATAATAAATAAATGAACAGATGAACTATCTTGCCCCAAAACTGCAGGTTGATACAGAATTCTTTTAACATGTACAATTAAAAGATCAAACATACCTCAATACAGGGGTTGTATCTCAATATAAGAATTAAGAATGATTGCATTATGTTTTGTTGTGTACAAGTTGCAAACATCATGCAAAGAGCATTGTGTTAGATACATTTTATGGATAACTCCTAATCAAAAGATAAATATATTAGGCTGAAATGTTCCAAATTTTGTTAAATTTGATGCAATTAAGTGAACAGAATGAAACAGTATTTCTCTTGCCCAGGATTTTCTATCTTTATCTCAAATAAATTTTGCATAGCTCCTCACTGGGGAACTCAATTTTTAACAAGAACTACAAGCACTCAAACTCATGTTCTGTCCTAACTCCCATTACACTACTGGATTTTCCCCCTTTATAGCCATAATAACCCAGAATAACATTAAGAGGCATTATTTGGATAGATGGAGAGAGAGAAAGAGAGAGAGAGAGATCTTAATATCAGTCCAAAGCATTCTACTGTAAGATAAATGAGTCATCTCTAAAGATTTTGCATTATAATCTACCACACTGGTCAAGTGCATGTTGATAGATGCTTTTCAACTTCGCAATCTATGGCTGAGAGAGAATGACTGGCCTAAAGTCTCTCAGATGGTTTCAATTTCTAAGGAAGAACCTTTATCTGTGTCTCCTACTGCTAATCCAACACCTTAATCACTATATTGCAAGGGTTTTTCTTTAAATTTTCTCCCTGTACCAATGTAAATAATGAGTGGATTCCTTAAAAGTGCAACATCTTTTTTTAAGATTGGATGGAAGCCTGAAAAATGTTAGTTTTTTTTTTAAATGAATAGTAGGGAAATGTTCCATTAGTGCAAGATCCAAGTACTTTTTAAAATTAGTTTTGAAGCACATACAGCTATATTTGACATTGAAATTATATACTAGTGGACCATAATGGATGAATTTTGCTTTTTTTTAACAATTACAATATTAGTCATTTCAATAGTAGGAATTAATAGCACTTTATAGTATCTTCCAACTGTCACTACAGCAATATATCACCCACGAATACAGGTTTTACATGATCATACCAAATAGTCTGATAACATCTTAAGATCTATAAATCACCAGTGTGGAAATTGACATTACAGATCAGGTTTCCACAATTAGGTGGTTCCAGATATGTTAGGCTACAACTTCTAAAATTCAGAAAATTTAAGGAAAGCTATTTATGGATCATAATTTTGATTTCAGATCTCAGTGCAGCGCAGCAACGAGTAAAAATAAATGCTTTCAATGGCCTTCTGAGTGACCCCGGTTTTTTTCCTCTCTGTGCAAATAGAATAGAAGAATAGAATAGAATAGAATAGAATAGAATAGAATAGAATAGAATAGAATAGAATAGAATAGAATAGAATAGAATTCTTTATTGGCCAAGTGTGGTTGGACACACAAAGAATTTGTTTCCAGTGCATAAGCTCTCAGTGTACATACAAGTAATAGTGATAATCATGATCATATACAACATAAAAATACATTAATCATAAATCATGAAATACAACATATTTATTTATTTATATTTATATTATATTATATTTATATTTATTATGTTTATATTTATTATATTTATGCACCATTTTCCATGGACCCAACACATACAGATTTCCAGTAGGAAAGTGCAAGACCAATGAAAGGATGCTACAGGTAATCCTTGATTTACAATCATTTATTTAGTGACCTTCAAAGTTACAACAGCACTGAGAAAAGTAGCATGATCATTTTTCACATTTACAACTGTTGCAACATCCTAATGATGGTTATGATGGTTGCAGTGTCCCGGGGTCATGTGATCACCTTTTCTGACCTTCTGACAAGCAAAGTCAACAGAGAAGCAAGATTCACTTAACAACCATGTTACTAACAACTGCAATAATTCACTTAACAATTGTAGCAAGAAAGATGGTAAAATGGGGCAAAACTCACTTAACAAATGTGTTGTTAGCAATATAAACTTTGGATTCAACTGTGGTCATAGGTCAAGGGCTACCTGTTGTCCTTTTCCTCAGTTTTATCACTCCACATGATCACAAAGTGGAGTTTGCAACAGCACAGCATAAGGGTAGCAGACAACAGTCTTGGTGGTTAGCAGAGGTATGAACCCAGTCAGACCTTGAAAACTTGTTTAAATCTTATCATTTTAAAGCAGTTTGTGGAAAAATGTGAATCCTTCTTATGAAGATTCCTGATATATGCATTCTCTGCAAATCAGAACTTTCACTTGGTACTCTTATCTTGTAAAACATTCTAATTAGTTTTATTGCAAGGCAATCATAAGATGCCCTGAAGGGTTCTGTCACGCAGGCTCTTTATTATTCTTTTATTAGCTATTTAAAAATATTTAATAAAGGCTGTAACAGAAGGCAAAGCTGACTTTCATGTGTAGCAGATAATCCCTATTTTTGCAGCTGATGCTTAGAGTCTTTCAAAATGCTAGCTTGAAACCAAAACAGGTTTGACATTTATGTCCTGAAGTGATGTACATTAGGAGAAATTCAAAGTGTTCATGTAGATTTCTGATAATTGAAACTTTTTTTCTCCTATGGAGAAATCTTCCTAGTAAATACAGACTTGCCAGCAAAAGAGACACTACCATCACCACCACCACCATCACCACTTCCACCAAAACAGGATAGAGAAGGGTCAGGACAAAGGAAAAGCTGAGGTCTTGCCTGACAAGCTTACAGTACTGGACAGCACCCAAATCCTAATTAATTTCCACCACAGATAATCCATAGTGCTCCAACAAAATAAGCACCTCTTCTGAACTTGTAGAAATTTGGATTCAGTACAGATTCAGTTTATGTAACTGCTTTGGTACGTAAGATTTGCTGGATTGTGTTTTTGTCATTTCTCAGTAATCAATATACTATTGCAAAAGCACTGCTCGTGATTTGGTGTTTAGTTGTTGGAGAGAGTGAGATTCAGAGATGAACCCTACCTAGGCACTGCCATCTGTGCAACTGTGTCATGGAACTTATGCTAAGTCAGGATTTATTGAATATGCCAAACCAAATAAACTATATTATATCACATGCCAAACCAAATAAACTA